ATATATATACTATATATAAAATGTTTGCAATTTTGAATTGCATTTATCCATGGACTTTTAAATACTATTTCTTCAGAGAATTGATAGTGTAAATGAAAGATTCTTTGAGTCATTTACTTCATAAATTACTGGAAATATTGGCAATTTGTATAACATAAAAGGCTACTTTTTGTAATAGTCCTGCTTTTGTCTAGTATAGTAGAAAATCTCATTTTACATCTCATTTATGTCACAGTCCTTGTTCTTTAAAAATGAGGAATGTATGTAGAAGATAATACGAATAATTACCATTTATTGAGCTCTTATTCTAACTCATGGATTCTGCTAAGCATTTTGCAGAGTATTTCCTTTTCACAACAAACTGTGAGCTTAGTACTAGTGAATTTATTTTACACATAATAAATCTAAATTACAAAGAATTTAAGTATATTGTAAAAGTTTGTAAGTCTAGCAAATGGCAGAACCCTGTTAAAAAAAAAACAGCTTTATTTGAATTCAAAATCATGGGTTTTTAACCATTGTTTGATCTTGGAGTAATGTCTACACAACAGACTTCCTTATAAAAGGGATGCTTTGTAAGAAAGAAATCCATACATTTCCCTCTTTAAAAATACTTTTCACGAAACAACATTATTTTGAAAGTTAAATATTCCCCTATGATACAGTTTAAGTATTCAGAAGGCTATGTCTCTTCATATATCCTTTCCCACTACTTCTTTACTGTGTTCTATCACTTCAAAATTACTAGTAAGTGTTGGAGTTTCATGTTTGATTAAAATGGTTATTTAACTTGCCTCAAACCTCTTAATTTAAAAAGCAAATCATTTCTGACCATTTATAGCTTTAGTAGCATTGGTCAACTATTCATCCCAACAATACAATCTATTCCTATTTGCCAGAATGTTGTTTCTAAGTTTTGGTCATTTTCCATAAAGACAATTGACCAAACAAATGAGAGGAAATGTATAATTCTTCCAAGGACTCTCAGCTACTTCTATTCTGCTCTCTGCCTCTCATCTTCATGATCTACGGATATCTGCCTACACTCCAGAAGCAGAGAAAGACAGCGACCGAGAAAGCTCCAATATGTCTGTATATTTTTAGCATGACATCCTCTGGGGTTTTGTTCTTGTTAGTTCCATCACAATCACATCCTTAATCCTCTTTTCCTTAAAGTCATGGCTCATGCTCTTCCTAATTTAAGTTGATAATGCCTTAGAAAACATCACTGTCATAGAAATATGCAGGAACATACTAAAATATTTTATTTTATTTTTTTAAAAATATATTTTATTGATTTTTTACAGAGAGAAAGGGAGAGAGATAGAGAGTCAGAAACATCGATGAGAGAGAGACATCGATCATAGCAACCCAGGCACATGCCCTTGACCATAACCCAGGCACATGCCCTTGACCGGAATCGAACCTGGAACCTTTCAGTCCACAGGCCGACGCTCTATCCACTGAGCCAAACCGGTTTCGGCATACTCAAATATTTTAAATGTAGATAAATTTTTGAAGGTGACAGTTACCAAATTTAAAATATTTAAATAACTACTATGTAATCGATCTCTCTCAATGCCTGTATTCTGCCGAAATCTTGTTTTATTCTACATTTTGTCTACAAGTCCTGATTATGGAATATACAAATGTATTCCCTCATATGAGAATATTTCACATACCATATTAAAAGTGTGTGCAACATACAGATAGTTGGGAGAGGTTTTCACTTTCTGTGCAGCACTGAGGAAGAAGGAAAGCAGAATGGCTTTCTTGGGAGGGAGTCACAGGGAAATTTAAAGATGAAAAGGATGCCTTAGAGCATGTCTGTGTATCTTGTGTAGATACTGGGTGACAGGAGTCCTCAGGTCCCTTTAAGCTCACTTGTTTCCTGATTCCATAAGGCTTTCATGAAGTTCTCTCCTTTTCAAGCACCCTCTTCAGAGCAGCTTTGACATCACTGTTCCTCAGACTGTAGATCAGGGGATTAAGCATGGGATTGAAAAGGCTGTGAAAGAGGAGGAGATATTTCTTCTGCTCCATGGGGTCCCCATGTGGGGACCCGACATACATGATAATGGCTGTGCCATAAAAAAGTCCAACCACGCACAGGTGGGAGGAGCAGGTGGAGAAGGCTTTCCGGCGCCCCTCCCCTGACTGGATCTTCAGGATGGCGCGTAGAATCTGAATGTAGGATATCACAATGGAGGAGAATGGTCCCACCAACACAGACACTGCCCCAGCCAAAACCATAATCTCATTCATGTGGGTGTCTGCACAGGCAAGTTTGAGAACTGCTAGAATTTCACAGAAAAAGTGATTCATTTCTGGGGTTTTACCAGCATCTGGGGCACCGTGTTGCAGGCATAAGACATGTCAACAATGGCCAGGTGTGAGAGGAAGGAGTACATGGGGGTGTGCAGTCGGGAGTCCAGCCAGATGAGGCACAGGATGACCCCATTGCCCAGCAGGGTGAAGGCATAGAACAGGGAGAAGAGCCCAAAGAGGAGCATCTGAGTCCTTGGGCTGAGGGGAAATCCCAGCAGAAGGAACTCTGTGACCAAAGTCTGGTTTTCCCCCATTTTCCTGGGAAAAAGACAAGGGTGCTTATGTCTGAATGCTGGGGAGGGGAGGGAATAGTTACTAACTTGGTGGATCTGTGCATTGTTTATTTCCTCAGAAAATATCTCCAAGGATAGGTTTGTCTGTTAGTCACTTACTACGTGAATACTATGCATTGCAAATGACACAGAAGGAAATTGTTATTCACTGTGATAAACTAAATGCTAGTATTCTATCACAGTGTTCAGTGAATCTTACCTGTATTTTCAAACTTTCACCACTGTTCACAGTATGGTAACACTGCAACTGCCTTCACAGCCGTGGTCACTTTCCCGGTCAGTGTGATCCCATCAGAGGATTGCCCGTGTGTTTTTCCACATCGCAGTGCACACAGAGCCACATGTGAGAATCTGGTCTGTGGTCTTGTATCTCTATCTGCACATGAGGATGGGAAGACAGACCAGAAGCATGTCCCAGATCCTCCTATCAGGTGACCTCATAAAGCTGTGCCTTCATTATATGAATTTGTTAGCCTTATCATTGTTACTGACAATATAATCTTGAGTTAAGTTGAGAGAATGTCAAGCAGACTGCCACACCTTGAGCTGGATTTAAAAGATAGGACTTTGTCTTTTGACCTTTGTACCCAGATGGTCTATTCTGATCGTGTTGTTTCATGATTGGATGTTGCCTGTCACCTTCTTATCCTCCATATGGATATTTGTATCCTATACCAGTATGTGTGTGCATGATGTATATGTTAGATATAGAATTATATATATGCGTACATGCACTTGAATCCTTATTATGGGCAAGTGTGTAAGGTACATGGTATTTTCTATATTATTTTCTACTCTATTGCACCAGTATAAATGCTGGTTGAATATCTTGATAGGTCATAGCCCACGATTTTAAAAAATCCTGATCAATATCCTAGACTAAAGCTAAAGCTCTAACTATATACTCATATTCATAGAACCTTCAACATATTGTATAGCTTAACTCTAATAGAAAGATATCATTTATCATGAATCTTTACTTTTTTATGGCTTATCAATTTTTTAAAAAGTACTTCTACCTCAGAGTGGGTATTCTGAAGTTTGACTTGTAACTATTAAACCATTGCTTCTATTTTCTGTCTGACTCTATATCCTTCTTCAATCCAGAATCCATCTGAATTTCATTAAAACAAAAATCCCAGAAAAATTCATAACTGAGTTCTTATCTCTCAGTTCCCCATTCAAATTTTCTGATAAGTTAATATTTGCAAAGTTTTATAAGCAAAAGTGTGAAGGTTTTATCCTGCTTCAAAAGAAGGATCAGAATTCACAATAGAAATATTGGGAGATGATTTTATCTTAGACTAAGAAATAGCTTCTTAACAATTGGAATCCCCTCTTTGAAGAAAACTGTTTCATTAGGACTGACCTTCATGTCAGTGAATGTTTTAAATCGGAGACTTATTGACCATCTATTCAAGATGGAATTCCCATGTTATGTGAGAACTTGAACAAGAAGAATGCTGAAGTCTCTTCCAACTATAGGATTCACTGTCCATAAATGTATAAAAAAGTGTTAGCCATTTTCATTTCGACTTTCTTGCAACATTTTGGGACAATGGAGACAGTAGTGCTATTTCTAAAATGTCATGGATGAAGGCACACAATAAACTAAATTAGAAGGACCAATAGGTGTCATCTCATCTTCCTTCTATCTGCCAGTAGCTAAAACACAAAACATAAAATCCACAGATATTTACTAAACATATTCAATGTCACACTACAGGACTTGGTTGAGGACACACAAGACAATTCCTATCTGCTGGTGTATATAACCTGCTTAGAATGACCAGATTGTTAAAAGGACTCAAGAGATGATAATTTTCTTATTTAAATAACTCACCAAATGGAAGTTCACTTTCAAAAATAAATCAAGACACTCTTGTGTAACAAACTCATTTTGTGGTCAATTAAGTCTATTATTTTATGAAACATTACTTAATTTCATGAAACAATGGAAAAATTTTCAAGCAAATCTCTCAAACAGCTATCTTATTTTACAATTTAAACATGAAATTCAACACTGAATGCATCAAAGTAAATGATCCATATTAGGTGTACCTAAAAAAGACAGTAACTTTGGATATGAAAGGTAAGTCTAGAAATAGCAGACATCTGGCATTGACAGGCAATAACAATTCCATTTGTGATTTTTCCTTAGAGCCTATCTGAAACTGTACAGTGAACAAAGTCAGGATAATATAAAAAAACTTACCACAGACTAACAGCTAAAAAGAAGACAAGGTGAATGTGAGGTGGGGTAAGCAAAAATGCACCATTAAAGCGAATAGCATCTGTGAGTTAGTGTTGAAATCCTGTCTCACAAGGATCTATCTCTTAGGAGAAAAGGTGCCCCAACAGAAGCAACGGGATTCCGCTCAGAAGGGAAGATTTATTCTCAGCTTACCTCCACCACCTCTCAATAGACTGAGTGTTTGGTATAGAAGAAGGAGAAAGACCCACCAGGCACACTGCCATCTGCTTCCTTCCAGGGAAAAGGGGCTCTCCAAGGACTTGTCTCTGGTTTTCTCTAGAGGGACATTTACAACAAGAAGATGTTGATGATTCCTTCAATCTGGAGCTTCATGATCATCAATTTAGAAGTTTTAGAGTGATTTCTGGGACTCCTTCATACATTACAATTACCGCACACTTGGATTTATTATGGTTTCAAGAACATTTCCCCACCTGCTAAATCTCCAAATAGAATAAGTGGTAAACAGGGCATATGGAACCCATCTATTCTTTCCATCCTTTCTAGTGTTGCCCATGTTTTAAGTTACACTTGACCAAAACATGTATCCTATATAATTTTTTCATCAAGTAACCACAAGAAATACAACTCATAAAGTAAGACCAGACAGCAGGAGCTTCGGAAATTGATGGGGAACATGTGAAGGAGTCAGAAACAGGATAAGCTATTCCAAGGGGACTTGTTAAATCCTGTTTGGTAGAATTTAACTGCAGTGCCAAAAGGGAAGGAAATCTCTCACCACCTTTACACTTGCTATTCTATCATTTCTAGAGATTCTGAGTCAAGGGGGAAAGAAAGATCAAGTTTCCTCTAGGACTGTAACTTCTACTATTTTCTCCTCATCTTGAAATGGAAATTGACCTCCTTTTACAATTCTAAGGAATGCAACTGAGACAATTTGGTGGTGCCTTTGTGATTTAAATTTCTCCTTTATTCTTTTATCTATATTTGTTTTTTGTGCGTGACATTAGTGCAGGGAGGGGGAAGGGTGTCCCTCAACCCAGGCGCCCTCTCCCAATCCAGGAGCCAGGCCTAAGCCAGCAGTCAGACATCCTTAGTGCTGCCACAGAGGCAGGAGAGGCTCCCACCACTGCCACTGTGCTCACCAGCTGAGAGCCCACTGAGGGCTTCTGGCTAAGCAGTGCTCCCGCTGTGGGAGGGCACTGACCACCAGGGGGCAGCTCCTGCATTGAACGTCTGCCCCCTGGTGATCAGTGCGCATCATAGCTACCAGTCATTCCCCCATTCAGTCAATTTGCATATTACCCTTTTATTATATAGGATGTTTTTATTCATTTCAGAGAGAGGAAGGAAGAGGGAGAGGGGGATAGAAACAAAAGTGTCAAAGTGCCCTGGCTGGTTTGGCTCAGTGAATAGAGCGTCGACCTGCAACCTGAAGGGTCCCAGGTCCAATTCCAGTCAAGGGCACATGGCCGGGTTGAGGGCTCAATCCCCAGTAGGGGTCATGCAGGAGGCAGCCAATCAATGATTCTCTCTCATCATTGATGTTTCTATCTCTCTCTCCCTCTTCCTTGAGCCACATTCTTACTTTTTACACATTTTTCACATTTTTTAAAAGAGAACTGGGGTGTCTTGGATAATAGCAAATCCCATATCACATATAACATTTTATCTCCTCTTATCTGAAATAGCTACTCAGCTTTTCTTGTCATGACTCTAATATTTTTGAAGAGTACAGACCCCCCTGCTTTGTACTATAATGTCTCTCAATGAGGTTTTCCATTGGTTGCTCCTATTTCAGTCAGGATTATAAATTTTGGGTAGGAAAACATGTCCTCTTAATGCATTTCTTTAATACATAAATAGTGTTAATTTGCCCCAATATTGGTAATGCTAATGTGGATGGATCACTTGGTTAAGGTAGTATTTCCAAATCTCCATTATAAAAATATTAATCCATTATTTTTAAGCACTTTGTTACTTCTGGCTTAACAAATTATTCTAGGCTCATCTCATAAATTTCCCACTTCAGCTTGGAATCAGTTATTTCACACAAAAATGCCTGGTTCAGAGAAACTAAGATGGTGGCATAGATAAACACCGGGAAATTGCTGCCTCCCACAACAATTGAATAATACATCAAAAACACAAAACGGACATCATCCAGAACTACAGGAAGGCTGGCTGAGTGTAAATTCTACAACTAGAAGGAAAGAAAAGCACACTGAGAGCCAGAGGAGCTGCGGAAGTAAAGTGCAGAGATAGGGGGCTCGCACATTGAATAATACATCAGAAACACAAAACGGACATCATCCAGAACTACAGGAAGGCTGGCTGAGTGTAAATTCTACAACTAGAATGAAAGAAAAGCACACTGAGAGCCAGAGGAGCTGCGGAAGTAAAGTGCAGAGATAGGGG